GGGGGGGGGGGATCTCTTTTTTCAAAAAACTGAGATGCTCCTGACCTTTGAAGGCCCACGTTTGGGGTGAGGGCGGAGAGAGGCAGCCTTCCCCGCCCAGAGAGAGACTCCCGTGCCCTCTGCCATGCTGTGGGACACAGGCCTCCGGAGGGGCCGTCCCTTCCCACAGAGTGCACCCCCCTCCGCCCACTGCTCACAAGTGTCGCCTGCATTTGGCTCTGTTTTCCGACAGAATGAGAGTTGGAGGCCAGGTGTCCCAGCAGAGCCTGGCGTCCTGTTACATCAGCCTCAGGGCTCCCCCCCTGCGCCCCCCCCCCCCCCCCAAACACAGCACCAGGGGGAACACACAAAAAATGTCTGGGACGACAGCAAATTGACCCAGGTACCAGGGTTCCCGGAGACCAAAGTATTCGAGAGAGATCAGGAAGAGGCCACCTCGGCCAGGTCCTGCAGCCCCACGCAGTGTTTGCTGAGGGTCACGAATGCGTTTCCACAGCGGCTCACATTGTATTCTTGGTCCATCTAGCAGGGGAATGGGCTCGGAGCTGGCCCGTGGCCTGTCGAAGGCACTGGACGCCCCCCTCGGCCTGGGCCTCCCTGTCACACCTGGGTCCGCCCGGAAGTGGAGTGTTCATTTACTCTGCAAGGGAAAAGTAGATTTACCCATTAATTTCCACTCCGGCGCTCCCAGCCCCAGCGAAGGCACAGTTAATATCATCTCACTTCAGACGACACTCGGAGGAGCAGGAAGACAATTTGTGGGGGGAGAGGAATGGGAGGCAGCGCGCGGCCCGGGAATGTTAATATTTACCGGCTGCCGCCCGTGCTATCTGGGAGCCTGCACGGGCGCTAAGTGGGGATTACATCTTCAATTAAGTAGTGGTGGCGGGGGAGGCGGCGATGTTTCACAGAGGGAAACTGCCGAAATCATACTTTAAGGAGAATCATTTTTTTAAAAAGCTACGGAAAAAAAAAAATTGAAATCAAAGCCCGAGGGGAAAAAATAGAGGGAACATTTCTGTTTAGGGAATCCTAATATTTTGGCTGAACACATTATGTAAAATTAAATACTATTTTAAACCAAGGAGATATAATATCTAATTAAGTTTTTGTGGTTGATGGGCTTGGAGAGGGCTGTGAATGTTGCATCCATTGAACTGAAAGAAGTAGAAAAATTAAATAACACTGTCCTATAGTGACTTGCACCCAGACACGCCAGCCGGCTCCCATCTCCCGTGCTCACTTCGCCCCCACCTAGAACTCAGGGAAGAAGTGAGAGAAAATGAGTATGAGCAGGAGGAACTTATTAAGCGTGTGAGGACCCCAAGGAGCCGGAATCAGGAGTTGTGAGCCTCCTCCCCGAGCTGCGGCCATGGGCTTGAGGGCCGGGGGACTCTCAGCCAAGGCTGTCCGGGGCGTCCAGGCTGGAGAAACAGCAGAACCCCCTGGAACTCTTGCCCCAGAATGCTCTCTGCTCT